TGTTAAATTTTTATTTCCCATGCATTCCTAACTTCTGAGTTATTTTCTTGTGCAAATACAGCCCTTCTGGTCTTCTATGGTTAATTATTCTAAGGAACATATCAATCTGCTGTAAATGTTCACTTTATGTGCCTGTTTATTGTTTGGCTGGAAGCCATGGGGATGAATTCAACTCCAGACCTGAAGGGTTACTAGGAGCCAGAGTCTCGGGGTTTTCACCAATCTCTATCTGACCAGTAAGTCTGGTCTTTTTTTCTTTTTCTTTTTCTTTATAATTTTCAGTTTTGTTTCACATCTGAAATATTTTGTGACAATGAGTGAAACACCATTTCTCTTCAATTTGCCATTCCCAGCATAGTAGATCATATGAATGTCTAACTCAAAATGGCCAGTACCCACCCATTTCAGCTCACTAATGTCTAGGATATCAATCTTTATTCATTCAATTTCATTTATAAAATCTTATAATTTTCCTAGATTCATACTTTGTATGTTTATTTTCTTATTGTTAATGAATGTTTGTAGCTGTTTCTTCCCATTTTAAGTCATGTGCAATCAACAAATGAAGGCCCCCAAAATTTGACTTCATCAAACCCATTAAGGCCAACTCTACTTGAGCCAACAGCACTTTACCAGTCGAGTTTTGAGTGCTATCCAACTTGAGGGGCTCATTTTCTGGCAATGTATCAGACAGTGTTTCACAACTATTCATATACCAACCAAAACCAAACTCACTGCCTTCAAGTTGGATCCAACTTGTAGCGACCCCTCCTTGGGTTTTCAAGGCAGTATCACTATGGAAGTAGATTGGCCAATTTCTGTAATATATAAGATACTATTTCAAAGATATTCACCATATTTTCAGAGGCCAATTTTTTTCAGAAATGGATAGCACCATCTTCCCAATTTCTGCTGAAACCTGACAATCATAAATGATCCTGTTGATATTTGAGATACCAATGGCATAGCTTCTAGCCTCACAGCAACATGCAAGACACTCAAGTATGATAAAACGTCAGATGAGTTGGAGATAAATAGGAGAACATAAAAACATACACATAAATATCCATGATTCATAAATAGGAAAAGTTGCTGGGTCATCCAGTCTCTACTACTTGAGCTCACTGGTAAATGTGATATACAGGTACGTCCATATTCAGAATGGAAAGTGTAAGCTTAGGTCTTCATTTTTGTTTCAAATCAGAGGTGAAGTTCTCCAGATACATAAATGTTATCATGACCCTTACCACAGACCAAACAGTTTTTGAAGAGTTCATTTCAACTTAGGATGACTTCTTGTGTGTCAGAGTATAACTATGCCCCCTAGGACTTTTTCATTTTATTTTGATTTGATTTGATTTGATTTATTGTTGTTGTGAATATACACAGAAAAACAAACATTAATTCAATGATTTCTATATGCTCAGCTCCGTGCCATTCTTCCATTATTTGCGTTGTACAGCCATTCCCATACTCTTTTCTGAATTGTTCCTCCAAAATTAACATAAACTCACTGCTCCCTAAGTTTCTTATCTAACCTCCAAGTTGCTGTGGTCAATTTGATCCCATAGTTCTTAAAAGAGCATTATGCTCAAGACAGATACTTTTTACTAGTTAAGGGTTTACAATAGCTGATTTGTTGGGAGTAAATTGCCAGGCCTTCCTTCTAAAGTGCTTCTTAGTGGATTTCCATCTCCAAACTTTTGATTAGCATCCGGGCATGTTCACTTTTTGCACCACCCAAGGACTTCTAACACAGAAGTTGTTTCAAAATCAGGTTTTGTGCTTATACAAAGTAAGGACTGAGCATATGTTTAAAAGAAATGAATAAATCTTAAAAAATGTTGAGAGATGGAACTCTTGGCTATATGGGTGACTTAGGAGATTTTCCTGATTTCTCTGGACTTTGTTTCCTCATCTGAAGTGAATGAATGGACTGCTGAATGAAGGACGATGATCAGAATATATGCACTTCAATTTCTCTGACTATGCACACCATATAGCAGTAAGTACCTATTTTCACCTGCCGTGATTATCCAGTTTTTTTTTCCCCTACAATGGAAATAATGCCATTTGTCCTTTTTATTTTTTTTCAGATAATTTAATTGTCTCAGGAACTTGAGCTCCTGAAATAATTCCATGGGAAAAATAAACAATGTAACTACATTCATTTTCTTGGGCCTTTCTCAGAACCAAGAGGTGGAAGAAATTTTTTCCGTGGTGTTTTCTTTTTTCTATATGGGTAGTCTTTTAGGAAACTTTGTCATCATGCTGACAGTGCGTATGGGCAACCTTCTCAATTCTCCTATGTATTTCTTTCTCAACTATTTGTCTTTTGTGGACATCTGTTTCGCTTCAGTTACAGCTCCCAAGATGATTGCTGACTTATTAGCCGAGAGAAAAACTATCTCCTATGTGGGGTGCATTTTGCAACTATTTGGAGTACATTTCTTGGGATGCACTGAAATCTTCCTCCTTGTCGTAATGGCCTATGATCGGTACGTGGCCATTTGTAAACCCCTGCACTATATGACCATCATGGACCGGGACAGATGCAATAAAATAATGTTGGGGATCTGGATAGGTGGCTTGTTACACACTGTTATCCTGCTGTCTTTAGTGCTCCAGCTCCCATTTTGTGGTCCCAATGTGATTGACCACTACTTTTGTGATGTCCACCCTATGCTGAAACTGGCCTGCACAGACACATATGTTGCTGGTGTTGTTGAGACAGCCAACAGTGGGTCCATCACTTTGGGGAGCTTTATTATCTTAATAATCTCCTACACTGTCATCCTGGTGTCCCTGAGAAAGCAGTCAGCAGGAGGCAGGCGCAAAGCTCTCTCCACTTGTGGCTCCCACATTGCTGTGGTCATAATTTTTTTTGGTCCCTGTACTTTCATGTACATGCGCCCTGATACTACCTTTGCTGAAGATAAAATGGTGGCTGTATTTTACACAAGTGTCACCCCTATGTTAAACCCCCTGATTTATACACTGAGAAATGCAGAAGTAAAAAATGCAATGAAAAAACTGTGGTATAGAAAGGTTTTCTGGAAGGCTAATGACAAATAGTTTGAAGTAATGATACTTTAACCAGATTGATTTTACTATATTTAGTTGTAGTTAACACAAGTATACAATGAAGACAGTAATGCTGAACTTGCATGGCTGTTTGGAGGAAAAAAAATGTTTTCTTCTCCCAATTTAATATTTTCTTTAAAAACTGAAAATCTATTTACTGTTTGGGACTGTGATTTGTATATGTTAAGCACTCAATATCATTTGTTGTATGAAAAAATTTGCAACATAGCTAACAAGTATTCAAGCTAAAGTATGCTGCTGTAAGTCCTTCCAGAACACAGATGCCTGTGAAAACTAAACACAGAAAGCTTGGAATGGGAGGAAAAAGGTGTACAGAATGAAAAAAAAAAAAAAAAAAAAAAGATAAAATACATCCTTAAAAGACAAAAGACCTATTCATATTCTCTGGTCTTGGGAAACTAAATATATATATATATAGGACCATTGGCCAAAGTAAGCACCTTTTAATTATATTAGCCTATGAGTATGCTTTGACTGTTGTTATTATTTTCCATCGAGTTGGCCCGGACTCATAGCAACCCCTCCTTGGGTTTCGGAGGCGGTATCACTAGGGAAGTAGATTATCCAACCTTCCTTCTAAGGAGTGGCTGGTGGGTGTGAACCGAGCCTTCGGCTTAGCAGTCAAGTGCCTTAGGCACTATGCTACCAGAGCTACTGTCTCTAATTGATATATAAAGCCTGTAGCTGCAGTCCTTGTACATGTGAAATGACTACCAGAAGATGCTGAAGAAACCGAGTGAACATAAAGCTACTTATGATGAATAGGTAACTGTGATTCAGTCAACAGGGTAAATACAATCCGTATTAATTGACCTCTTTCCTCCATGTCTGACCAAGCGACTGTACTCAATCAGTGAGTCATTTTCAGTGCTTCCTTGGCTGACTAACCGATTTCCATCTGCAAATTCTAGAGAGGCCCAATCTAGTCACATAAACTAATGCCTTCCTCATAAGAACTGATAACTCGTCCAAGTAATACTGTGTTTCTTCACCTTGGGATGCAAACTGGACTTTTTTTTTTCTGTTGCAGGTGAATATATTACTGATTATCTCTCTGCTTTGTTTCATTTCCTTTTCCACAATTATGCATATCCATTTATTATGTGTGTTATGTATATCCCTTATGCCTGTTTTGGTTGCAGAATATTTGTGTGTATGTATGTGTGCACGTGCAAACATTTCTCACATCAAGGTATATAGGTAGGGCTGAAAAATGTTGTTGATGTTGGTGTAATCACAGAAGTGAAGAGAAGAAAGATCAAAAAGCAGCAAGACATCTGAGTTAGAAGTTATAATGAAGAAACTCTTCCCCTGGAACTGTATAAATCTGGTTATTGTCCCAGATTGCACATGCATTCACTGGATCTCTGTGAGCCTCCATTTCATTGATTTTAAAATGAGGACTAGATGAGTGCTTCTCAAGCTTGGCAAATATTTGGAATCGCCTTGAGAGATTTTTAAACAAATAACAGAAACTATTCCAAGAGATTCTTATTCAGTAGGCCAGAGGTAAGCAATATACACAAATCTATATTTTTAAAAAGCTCCTCTGGTAATTTTTATGTAGTCAGACAGCTTGGACTTGGAAACATTGAGACTAGGTGGCATGAATCCAAGGAACCTGTGTTTGCATATATTTCCCCATCTGCTCTGATAACCAACGTGAAGGAAGCTAAAATATCATAAATGTATAAAACTGTGGAAGAAATAAATATAATCCATTTGATAATTTTCTTCACAATACTCTTTCCTGTATTTCTTCACAATAAATTATTGGAGATTGAGGGATAATAGTATTAATATTACATGTGTGAGGGACCTAAGAAGATAGACATTTTCAGGTTCATAACTCTCAGTGGCAGAGGACAGAATGGAATAATACTTAAGGTTCTACCAGTGATTTTTTAAAGTCACCCTTGTTCATAAAATTTGCTCTGAGTCAGTTCTTATCAGAGGAGTTCAAAGACTCTCCTCTTGGTTACTTGAGGGGAAATGATAAAGAGCTATGAGAACTCAGATTCTTCCCAGTTTTCAAAGGGAAAGACAGGTCAGCAATAGCAGTTCATATCATAATTTTACACCACAATATTTGTATGTGTTATGAGAGCTTTATAACAGTGCTTTCACAAGATTGGAGATGTAACTTTGATTGGAAACTTCATTGATGAAAATAAATGACAACCTTTCTCATTTTCCAAATAAAGAGTTTAATTTATTTCATGATGGAAAGCCATAAAAATATGCCTCCCTGTGTCTTTTAACCACTGATAATAATTCTGTT